GAGGCTGCAGTTTTTTTAAGGAGTTACCAACCTTAGTTAGACTCCATGACACAACACCATTCATGCAACTGCGATACCTCCTACACTCACCTGCATGGAATCCCCAGTTCTAAGGAACAAAAGCTGAAAAGGCCTTCCGACAAGGCTGTGCTTATAATAGAGGAGGGCAGATGTGTTTTGAATGTTCAGTTATCTCACACTATGGTGTGGATGAAAAAGGGGTTCTATGGAAAAGAAGCTTGGAGGGTGATCTGATCATAGATTCCTAACTGGGCAGGTCATGGTGGGCAGTCATGACCCAGGCATATAATTTCTTTACTTAAAAGGCGTGTTTCTGCCTTATGCAAGTTCTGTCTATTGTTTCTGTGCATCTAGGTTAGCACATCTTTAAAATGCCCCCTTTCAGACCCCTCCGTCTTAAGCAGTGGTTCTCAACTTTCCTAATGCCGTGACCCTTTAATACAGTTCCTTATGTTGTGGTGGCCCCCAACCATAAAATTATTTTCGTTGCTACTTCATAACTGTAATTTTGCCACTGTCATGTCTTAGGTGACCCCTGTGAAAGGGTCGTTCGACCCCCAAAGGGGTCGCGACCCACAGGTTGAGAACCGCTGTAAGCATGCAGGTTCCTATCCCTGTCTTGCTTTCTCCCACCTTCATGTAATTTTCCTTACGTTCTTTCCTTAATCTTAATGCATAAAAGAAACTACAAACTGTTATTCTCCAAAGCATTTATCTCAGTCTGTTGAGATCTTGCTTCCAGGTATATATTCTGTTTGGCTCAAATAAATATTTATAAAAATTCTCTGCAGGTTTGGACATTCTCATGTTGACAGTGGATTAACAGCTCGTAAAGTTTTATTTATGTAAATTTTATTTTCCAGTGGGGATATTGAGAAAGAGATACACAATAAGCAAGTGAATATATGTCATATCAGTGCTCAGCAAGTCTTATATACTCTAGACTAAGAAAACATTCTTCTTTTTTTTAAATCCTCATCCGAGGACACTTTTTGATATTTTGTTCAGATAGAGTGGGAGGGGGAGAGAGAGAGAGAGAAACATAGACGTGAAAGGGACACATCAAGTGGCTGCCACCCACATGACCCAACCAGGGCTGGGGACAAACTGCAACCAAGATACATGTCCTTAGCGGGAACCGAACCCGGGTCTCTACGGACCGCAGGTCGACACTCCAACCACTGAGCCAAACTGGCCAAGGCTTTTTTAAAAACTGAATAGCATCTAGACAAGGGCTGTTTAATAGACATATAATGCAAGCTACAAGTATAAGCTACATGTGTATTAAGAAATAAATAGAGAAAAATTAATTTTAATAATATATTTTATTTTACCCACTACATCTAAAATTTTATCATTTCAACATATAAAGATTATAATTTTACATTTTTATGTTAAATATTCAAAATCCACTGTATATTTAATACTTAGAGTTTATATCTTATACTTTCTTGGATAAGTGGCTAGTAACTACCTATGGCTGGTGGCTACTATTTTGGACAACACAGAATTAGTTCACAGATTTGGGGTCAATTCTTCTTCATTTAGGAAAAATAATTCAACTCTTCTTGGATCTGGATTTGTTCTCCTCAGGTCATGCATATGTAAAATATACATCCACAAAGTTTAGATTTATGATGTATAGATAAAACCGGACATAGAAAAAAGAAAAGAAAAGAAACACACACACACACACACACAAAACTGGACATAGCACTGCATTGTGCTGTCAAAGGTGAGGTTCAATTGAAGATCGCTAGAAAATAGCCAAATGGAAAAAAAAAATTACTTTCCCTTCACCAACTTTTCAACTTTTGGAAATATATCGTTAAAATCAGAGAAGGGCTTATTTTGGAGTTAAGTGTGTATGTTTGTGTATGTGTTTGCATGTTTGCATGCTCACTTGAATATTTGTTTATGAGTCTCTGTGTTCTGTGAAAGATGGGTGGCCTCATTGTTTAATGGAAACCACAACGCCATGGAGGTATTGGTAACATTTCTGGCTTTAGGACATAGCAGAGTAGGGCTTCTTGACTGCCATGCCAGTGTGGAATGAGCAGGATAATTATCCACGACACATAAAAGCTAGCATACATTCCTGAAGCATATGGGAATGTATTCCTTCTGAAAGAGAATCAATCTTGAAGCTCTGTAACTACAGTCATTAGCGATAAGAAATTATTAGTGTCCAAAAACAATTTGTTTAATGCAATTGAATTGTTAGCCTTAAAAATAAACAAAATTGTAATTATTAGTTTGAGAGGGAAATGCCAAAATACAGGATCCAGGAAAGTAGGTGAAGAGAATGGAGAAGAAAAACCCAAATGTGGAAAGAGACTCGAGAGGGAAGTGGGAGAACACAAAAGCACACTTACTGGCTTGACTCCCTTAGCCAAGACCAACCCCAGCTCCCTGGTGCAGGGGGAGTACGGTGCCCTAGGTCTCCACCAGCCTCCAGAGAAGGCGCAATGGGCAAGAGGGTAAGAGGGCATTTGGGCAACTTTTCTTTCTCATATATTACATCTACTAGAAAGCCACTTAGCTATGGACATCTTTTCCAAACAAACATATAATTGTCTCTGTAATTAGGTAACCAAACTGCTCGGGTAGGAAAAGGGGGAGCTAGCACTAGGGGCCTATTCTCTGCCAGGTGCTTTACACATGCCATCTCCGTCAACTGCCATGTATCATGTCTATTTGTTTCAGAATGCTTTTAATTGCACAGATGATAAATGAATACATGTTTAGTGTAAAAGAAATGGTATATGCACCCAATTTACAGAGGAGACCATTGAGATTTAGGGATGTTGAGGGATTTGGTAAGTAGTTGAGGTTAGATTTGAAACTAAGCTTTTCTTCCTTATCATGAGAACCTCCTGAATGATATAGATAAGTGATGGCTATTGTAACATGGAGTAAAAGAAGGGTGTGGGATGAGAGCTATTTCTGTTGCATGGGGGTGATGTGAAGCAGGCAAAGGGCCATGGAGGGATGGGAACACCACTGCCATTCAGTGCAAGTGACATTGGGCAGACCCTCCCGTTCCTGCCCTTGGCTTCCTTGCATGAATGTCCCGGTAACAATCCTTGATTGTTTTGTGGATTCAAAGAGATAATAGAAAGGACCTTTTAAAACTGTAAAGTAGAATATGTTGGCATCACTAACAATAATATATAGTGTTTGACATTTATAAGAGTGAAGAGCGAAAGTGAAAGCTTTGCATAGCTATTGAATACTGAGTAGCTGATATCTCAAGGAGAGAGAAACACCCCAAAATATTGACAAGGAAGTTGGAAGTTGCTAAAAATATATATCCCATACTTACCTGTGTTGTCCCGATCCTGATCTTTTAACCTTTAATTTGTTCAGATTTTCACTGAGTGCTTCTCTCGTCACATACTGGTGGTACCAAAATGGGGATCCCTGTCTTGGAATTAGGGAGCCAGCCATCTGGCCAGGAGAGGCATTTGTGCCACTAAGCAGCTTGTCTGGGAGGCAGGGTGTGGGCCCCAGGGAAGCTGATACTGGGAAATCTAAATTGCTGGCCATACCACAAAAGTGAGTACGTGCAAATCATTCACATCAGAAAACCCAGTCAGGGTTGAAATAGAAAGAGGTGATCCCTTTCAAAACAAAACAATACAATGCAGACTATGTAAACAGCTTCCAAAAGAGCACAGTGGGGGAGAAATTATGTATCTTTGTTTCACTTAAAAGATTTCAACAAAGAGTTTCTTTGGATCTGGAACTGGCTCAATGCTCTTAAACATATGTTCAGAGATGAGGAACCACTTGACTGAGAGCCAGATGGAAACAGCTCACGATGTGGTGTTCGGAGTCACTGCTAAAAGATCATCCATCAGCCAAGAAGATAAAGCATTTCTGGGAAGACAGTTTAAGTCAGTTGAGAAAATGGCAATGCAAGAAATGTGCCAAAATAAAACTTGTCAAGTTTCAGTAATTTGTTCTTCATTGAAAATAAGTTATTTTCGAATTGGATATCTAGATGTGAATATACATTTATGGCAGGCTGGAAGAATTTTGTAAAAAATCATAATGTATGTAATTATAGTTTCCTCTACTTGCAAATATACAACCCCGTTCACATCAACAGATAGTTTGATCCTAAGAATTTGAATGAGTTCTTCCAGTTTTAAGCTACTCTCCTGTTTCCCACTCTGTGTCACTCCTTCATGTTTGAAAAAAATATATCAGATCTCAAAACCTTGCAACTGGAGTGGGAGAGTTGATGTGGGTTAGTAGAAAGTGATGCAAAATGAAAGTAGGAAAAACCCTGGTCTTGTACCAGCTTTATTACTATCCAGCTATTTTGAAAAATGACTTATGCTTCCTTTCCTCTTAATTAAGATGAGAGCATGAGATTTTATAATTTCTAATGATCTGACACAGTTCCAAAATTCCATTCTGTTATTTCACTGTTTCAGATGCTGTTTTTAGATGACTATGAATTGCTCAGTATTTGTATGTGAGCATAGAACCCTCTTCTTCCCAGGAGGTTCCTGAGAAAATCCAAACAGTCATGGACAAAGGTGGAGTTTTAGGGTTTCTTTTTCTTTTCTTTCGTTGGCATTTTGCCTGATTTCTTAACTTCACTCTAATTACCTTGAAACTGTATTGATTGTTCTTGTTGCCATAGAACACTTAGCATGAATCCTGTCATTATTTCACTGAAAAGGAACATTTTTGAGCACCTTTTTGCCTTCTACAGCTTCTCTGATGAGACTCCAGCAAATTTTACCCCATTTTACAAACTGACAACAGTGCTCTTCAAGGCGCCAAGCCGTTGTGTGTCTGTTCCCTGGCCTGGTGATTCTTTACAATCCTCTCCATTCTTCCAAACCAATCTAACATCACATCCTCCGCAACGCCGCTGGAGAACTTGCACTTCTGCATTCATCGCATTGCACTGTAATTGTTTGTTTACACATCTGTTTCCGCCACTAGACTCAGAGCTCTCTGAGGTCGGAAATTGGCTTGTTCAACTGTGCAGCTTCCTGTTGGCTGCAGGGAAGTGCAGAGCCAGAAGGGTGGCCCACCCTAAGCAAGTATGTGACCCTTCAGGGAAGTGTTCCTGCCTCTGCACTTGCCCTTTCTCTCCTCCTTCGGCCTTATCTATCGCATCTACTTCCTGTTATCTGGCAGCAGGGTTTATATCTTTGTAAGTCATCTGAAAGAATGTTTTCAACAACTAGGAGGTTTAACAAGGAAAATGTTCATCTCTGTATTCCTAGGGCTTAAACACAGCTCTGATACCTGGTAGGTATTAAGATACTAAATAAATGTATGTTTAATAAATGACACAAAAATTATGGCAATATGTGAATGTTACTCTGGACTAGGCATTGTCCTATGCAGTTTATATGTATTACCTCATTTAATTTTCCCAACCTAGGAGCAGAAACTTATTACCCCCTTAGTATATATAAGAAAACCGAAGCTCAGGAAGTATAAGTAACAAGTATAGGTTATACACTTTGAAAGTGGCAGTCGGTATTCAAACAAAGGTGATATGACAGGAAGATGGTAATCTATTTCTCTGTTGAATCATCTCCAGGATTTGACAAGTGAAAGATATGCCTGTTAATTTCAAACCTAAGGACCATGGGCTAGGTACAGTTTGTGTTTCACATATAAGTTGATCTGTGATGGCCTTTTTCCTTTAATTTATAAATCTCTCTCTATATATTTTTATTTTCTCATTTATTTTATTTTACTTCAGTTAAATTTATTGGAGTGACATTGGTTGATAAAATTATATAGATTTAAGGTGTACAACTCTATAATACATCATCTGCACATCATATTGTATGTGCACCATCCAAAGTCTAGTCTGCTGTCCCCATTTATCCCCCTATGTCCTCTTCTACCTCCTCCCACAGCCCCTTCCCTCTGGCAATCACCACACTATTGTCTGTGTCCATGAGTGTTTAGTTGTTGTTGCTGTTGTTTTGCTTTCACCTCTTTCACCTGGCCTCCCTCCCCTTTGACAGCTGTCAGTGTGTTCTCTGTATTTCTATTTTGTTGGTTAGTTTATTTTGTTCATTAGATTCCACATATAAGTGAGATCATATAGTACCTGTCTTTCTCTAACTGGCTAATTTCACTTAGCATAATACTATCCGGGTCCATCCATACTGTAGCAAAAGGTAAGATTTCCTTCTCCTTTTATACAGCTATATAGTATTCCATTGTATAAATGTACCACAGCTTTTTTTATCCACTCATCTACTGATGGGGACTGGACTGCTTTCAAATCTTGGCTATTATAAATAGCATTACAATGAACATGGGATATTTTTTTGAATCAGTATTTTATGGGCATTTGGGAAAATTTTACCTAAGGGTTGCTAAGCTCCTCATATCTCTGGAAATATTGACAACAGAAAGCACAAAACTCAGTAGCACATGGGTCTGTCTTCTCTGATCTATGTGCCCAAAACAGCATTTGAAACCTCAATGATGCAAAAAAGTGTGAATCAGCAGCAAATTCCCTAATCTTCATTTTAATGTGGGCTGTGCAACATAAAAGATGTTGTTTCATTTAGTGCTTTCTTAACTGACTGGGTCTTCTCAAGGATCCCGAGTTCCAGACTCCTGGGCAAAGTGAGTCTTGCTGTGGAGAAAAGGCAGGAAGAAAAACATGTCCTTCTGCTTTCTTACCTTCTGGGTCAGCTTCTTGTAGCAGTTCTTGCTTTTCACAGCCTCATTATCCTTTCTTCCATTTCTAAACCTCCACTCCTGTTTCAAGTCAGTATCTCTAGACTGGCTCTGTGCCTCAGTTTCCTCCTCTGTAAAATGGGGATAACTGTAGTAAATACCTCCCAAGGGAGAAACAGGGAGGCACAGGCTACAGTGGGAGCTGTGCAGGGGGTGGCAGCACCTGAGGAAGACAGGATGAGATAGACACCAGTGGAAGCATGAAAGATAAATGAGCCAACCAGGTGATGGGTGGGGAGAGTTGGACTATTTCAAGTAGGGGTCCTGACCTAAAAAAGAACAAGGGTGGGTTGATTTCAAAACACATGTGTTTTCTCAAGGAGCATATAGAAAACATGGTTCATGTTCTGAGGCAAATGGAGGCCACCAAGGGAATTGCTGGGGATAGTCTTGGGGGAAAGAGAAGCTGGCCATAATCCCCATTCTCAGCTATCAACTGGATTGTCACTCCCATGCATAGACATTCTGAATGTGCCACTGGTATATCTAATGTACTCAGTAGAGGGATGGTTGGCCCCACAACCCCTGATAAAAAATCAGAATGGCCCTGAGTCACTATTAGGTGCGGCAATGTTGGCTAATTTGTCACTATCCTGACGAGACTATCTCTGCAGTAAAATCGTTGTTACATACCTAGGAGGGACCCTGAGAGTCATAGAATTCCTTTCTTGACTTCTCAACCATTCCAGGCAGATAAGGAGGTTAAAGCCCAGGTAGTGATTTGAGGACTTGAATAACATAGTGGGGTGTTTCCATTTCTAGCTCTGTTTGACCAATTGACTGTAGAAGAATTTCTTAATCTTTAAAACACTAACATGGTGTTTTCTGAGTGCAAGAAATTAAAAAAAAAAAAACTTTTAATCTCCTGTCCGTGCTTTGTAAGCAGTGAAGGACATGGACACACGCTTTACAAATGACTTTGCTGTTCCTCCGGTGAGAAGAATTTTCTTTTATTTATTTATTTATTTATTTTTTATTTTTATTTTTTTGTTCAGGTAGAGTGGGAGGGAGAGAGAGGAACAGAGAGAGAGAGAGAAACATCGATGTGAAAGGGACACATCGAGTGGCCACCACCCGCACGACCGACCAGGGCCGGGGACAAACTGCAACCGAGGTATGCGCCCTTAGCGGGAACCGAACCCGGGTCTCTCAGGACCACAGGCCGACGCTCTAACCGCTGAGCCAAACTGGCCAGGGCGAGAAGAATTTTCTATGACCACCTTCAGGTCAATCAGGCTGAGTCTGAAGACAAGGTCAAAGGCATCATTCATCTCAGCAACCACCACCTCCAAGGATTGTCACTCCAAGGGAGAGATAGATGGTGACAGCCTCAGGCGCAGGTACAGTTTACTGTGGGTACACTCAAGATGGATGGAAAAGTCCATTTGACCAAAATTACAGCCCCCAGAGATTCATCCTTTTTAGTTAATGAGCTAAACTTTTCTAACAGAACCATCTCTGGGAATGTTAATTCACAGTAGCTCTATCGACCCCTCACACCTTAGTGCGACTTTGTTGAATGTAGATAATGAGATCAACCTGTCCTCCCCAAGAGCATCCCAGTGAAGGGCCTCACTACTACAGGGAAGAGAAAGCAAAATTAAGGAGAAGGAGACCAGAGAACGATGATGACAAAACTGAGTTATTTTACTGTGTCCTAAAGATAAAGGTAGGATTGCTGATCTAGAGAGGAAGAAATACTGTATAATTATATATTTATTTTAGTTCTCTTCCTTTCTTTCCTTCTCCCTCATCTTCAACCTAAGTCAGCATTTTCTAAGGAAAATCTCTGAGTCCCAAATGACCAAAAGCTTTGCTTTGGCTGAAGACATGTATAGAGAAAGTTAGCTATGAGCTCTAATGACTACGGACAAATATATTGTTGGGGCCCTTTTCACTCAAAAATGATTTGAAATTTTTTCTTATTTTGAATAGAGATCTTTAAAAACAGATTTTTAAAGATATAGTTCACATACAAAACATCCACTTAAAGTGCTAAAAAACAAAATTTAAAGCTCTAATTGGCTTTACTAGTAAATTTGTGAATTGGGTAGCATCTCATCCAGCAACTAGAAGCACCCCGAGATGTGTACAAAATGAAAGGATTTTATAGGAAGAAGGGTAGGGCAAGGGAGCGATTAACAAAAGAAAATTATTCTTGAACATTTTTTCTTTGGGAGAAGGGTTATTTATTTTTAATCCTCACCCGAGGACATTTTTGCATTCATCCTCAGATAGAGCGGGAGGGAGAGAGAGAAACATCAATATGAGAGGGATACATTGAGTGGCTGCCACCCACACGACCCCAACTGGGGCTGGGGACAAACTGCAACTGAGGTACGTGCCCTTAGCGGGAACTGAACCCGGGTCTCTGGTCCACGGGCCGAGGCTCTAACCACTGAGCAAAACCAGCTAAGGTGGGAGAAGGGTCTTTATCATGCAGATTACCTCTTCTTTTTATGGGGGATGAAGAGGGCCCATGTGACAGATTACCTTACTGGTGTTTGACCAGAAAATTCTAGACCGAAAAGATTACATTTCTGGGAGATGTTGAAACTTCAGTTAGATCAGGTATTAAATTTAGGTTTGGTATCCGGGGCTTTTGGCATGAGTGACACCATTTGGGGTCTGTAGTTTTTTTCTTTAGCAAAGTATTTTTGGGTTTTGGTATATTGCATTATCAATTTTTAAAAATTGTGGTGTTATATATAACATAAAATTACCATTTAAATAATTTTAAGTGTACATAGACTAGAGTTTAAAACCATTTTTTATAAGGGAACTCTATGACATCGCTTGCTCATAAATATAAATCTGAAAGGAAAATAAATATATTGGAATATAAAAGATTGATTGAAAAGACCAGCTGAAATGGACGCTTCTGTAAATGAGGAGCACATCATTAACTGTTCTTAAGCGACGCCATCAGCAGCAGGTGCCCTGGTTCCCAGGGGTCCTCCAGCTCCTGGCCGGCCTCCCGCAGCACCATCTTCCCCTCCAGGGTCATTGCCACAAAGAGAACAACGTTCAGAGGGTGAGGGCTTCCCACTGCCACCCCAAGGCAGGTTGCCCAGCAAAGTTCTGGGTGTTGCCGAAAGAGATTAAAGAGAGGGAATGTATAAAATGGAGCCACTTTAACCAAACTGCTAAAATTATTAACCTTATGAAGGGCGAGGCCTGAGGATAGACTCCATTCTTGTTCTAACTAGCCTGGGAACCTAAACTTTTTTTTTTTTTAATTCTCATCCCAGGGTATTTTTCCATTTATCTTCAATAGAGTGGGAGGGAGGGAGCGGGGGGAAGAGGGGAACATCAATATAAGAGAGACACGTCAATTGGTTGCCTCCCACACGACCTGACTAGGGCAGGGACCAACTACATGTGAAGTTCATGCCATTGTCCAGAATCAAACCCTCGGCTCTTTGGCCCACGGGCCGAAGCTCTAACCATGAAGCCAAACCGGCCAGGGTGGAACTTAAACGTTTTTAACTTTCCAGCTCTGTATCAATGTCTGGATATACACCTGGACCTCTAGAAAACCCTCTGTCCCCTGCAGGATGCATGTATCTAGACCACCTGACATCCACCTGGCATCATTCTTCAGACCACCAGAAGTGACCAGACCTCCAGCCACCCACCCTCCAGACCACCCGGCATCAGTCATCCAGACTGATAACCATCCTAGACCAATCCTCGGGCTGAGAATGCAGGACTGATTTTTTTCAAGAATGCACCTTTGTTATAAAAACTCTTAACTTTTCTTCTTTGGAACACTTCTAGGTGTTTGCTTAGCTGTGTTCCCAGTCTCCAAACTCCAAGACCCTTGAATAAATGTTTATCATTTATTTCTGGCCAAAGTCTCCAGAGTCTTTTTGAGTTCTTTTGACAATGTCAAGTGTCTGTACAATTAGAGGTGGCTGATTGGAGATTAGGAACTAGAGCAGGAGGATGTCATCTAAACTATGATGGGGGGAGAGCACAATGTTCCCCTCCGAGGCCTGGAGCTTCCAAAAAATGACCTGGTCAAGGTTCAAGAAAGAGCTGCATGTTTAAAATGGTAACATGAAGCCCTGGCTGGTGTGGCTCAACTGGTTGAGCATCGTCCCAAGAGGTCACTGGCTCGTTTCCCAGACTTGATCCCCAGTGGGGGGTTGTAATGGAGGCAGCCAATCACTGTTTCTCTCTCATTTATGTTTCTCTCTTTCTCTCTAAAATCAATAAAAACATATTTGAAAAAATAAAACTGTAGCATGAAAATGGCAATGTAATTACTTAAATACTTCAAATAAAAAGGCTCCTGCTATTCCTGGCCTCCAAGTACTCCCCTGTCTCCTCTACCACCTGAACCTGTGTCAAGGCCCCTCAGCTTGCCAGTGTTGAGGAAGCCCTCCAAAGTGATTCTGATGAGCATCCCTGGCTAAGGGCTGTTCTGTTACCGCGTTCTATTACTCACATTGCTGATTGCCACTGATAACCATATGAGGCTTTCCTGGTTCAAGATTTCACAGTGGCATAATTTTTGTTTTGTCCAAGTTAGAAATAACAATATCTAACAATTCCTACGCCTTTCTCAGGTGCTGTCAGAAGTGTGTGTGATATCCCATCTCCTCTAATTCTGATGATTTCCTCTATGCAGCAAAGGAAACGGAGGTTTGGAAATATCCAGTAACTTGCTAGCACAAGGTCAGGTCATATAGCTGGTAAGTAGCAGAGCCGGGACTCCAACCCAGATCCCACCCTCCTGGTGAGTCAGCGCTGAGCTGGGAGGGCAGATCCAGGTGAAGTGTTCCACCTAAGCACTTACTGTGGATGATTTCTATCGTCAAGAGGTGTATCAACTGGATACATTTTTGTCCCGGATATAATGATATGCAATCAAAAACAGACCATGGTACAGGGACATAACACTATGAAAAATTTTTTTTGTTTAAGCTTATTTTGTAATATTTGATACTTCAGACTGAGCTAGAAGGCCTTCAGCGTCTAGTACTAACTGGAGGAAACAATGCTTGCTCCACACCCCAGAGCAAACACACGGGTCCTCTCAGAGAATTGTAATTAGTCTGTTTACTTGGAGCACTTGAAGCTGAGTTTACAGGGCTGCTAACCAAAGCCTCATTTACTTAAGGCCTGGGAGCCTCTTTAGGAGAGATGTCAATGACTGCTTCGCAGAGTGTATCCACTTCTTGGCAAAATGGCAGTCAGCTGTCAATGTGGACACAAGATGAATCACAGAACTCGAGAAAGGTAGAGAGGTGTTTGGAAAAGCAAACTTTGAAGGAGCTGAACAAGCCTGCAAGATTATAGCTTCTGGTTCCCTCATCTTTCACATCAGCAAAGTACTTGCTGCTCTAGAAAGATATAAATCTTTTTTAGATCCCACGACCTGTTGTACAGCTTTCTCCACTTTCCTCTTTTTGATATGGTTTGCTTTTATGTTTAAAAAGTGCTACAGCATAAGTGCTATTCTAAACTGTTACTCATGAAAATGCTTTGAAAATTATTTTGCTACCAAATATAAAGTGAAAAAAATTTTTTTTGCTTATTTAAGAATAAGTTCATTTAAGAATGGGTTTAGAAGCCAGGAATGGAAAAGAAATAATTCGTTCAGGATAGGTAGCAAGTGTTGACCTAAAATGGTTAGGTTAGCAAAACATCAACATCAGTGTTTTTTTGAAGTGTGGACCCCAGACCACCTGCTTTAAGTCTCTTTAAACAAACCAGCGCCACCCATGACCACCTGAACTTAGCTCTCCGGGAGAAAAGTGCAGTTATCTGCATCTTTAACCAGCTTCCCATGATTCAGTCGTGCATTGAAGATCTTTCTATTCTTTTCTAGTTACAAATGGCTTGCAGACACATCCACAGTTCTGGCTGGCCACACTTTTCCCCAGTGACTCTCCTTGCTGCCACAGTGGGGTTCCTAACCTTTTGTGTGTCATGCACCCCATTGGGAGTCTGGTAAGCCTATTCATCATTTTATTTTTAATTTTAAGTTTTATTTTTCAACTACAGTTTAGAGTCAATATTATTTTGTGTTAGTTTCAGGTGCCTATGGATCATTTCTTAGAGTAATGTTTATAAATGTATAAATAAAATAGGATTACCAAAGAAACAAATTGTATTGAAATGCAGCTACCAAAAAAAATGCAATATTGCCCTGGCCGGTTTGGCTCAGTGGTTGGAGCGTCGGCCTGCGGTCCGGAGAGACCCGGGTTCGGTTCCCGCTAAGGGCACGTACTTCGGTTGCAGTTTGTCCCCGGCCCTGGTTGGTCGTGCGGGTGGCAGCCACTCGATGTGTCCCTTCACGTCGATGTTTCTCTCTCTCTCTCCCTCCCACTCTATCTGTACAAAAAAATGGAAAAATATCCTCGGGTGAGGATAAAAAATAAATAAATAAAAGAAAAAATGCAATACCTGCCCTTTTTTAAATGAATGCATAAAATAATAATACTTAGTGGTTGATGTAATAAACCCACATATTCATTTTTTTTTCGATATTTTGTTCAGATAGAGTGGTAGGGGGAGAGAGAGAAACATCGTCGTGAAAGGGACAGGTCAAGTGGTTGCCACCCACACAACCCAACCAGGGCCGGGGACAAACTGCAACTGAGGTACGTGCCCTTAGCAGGAACCAAACCTGGGTCTCTCCGGACCGCAGGCTGACACTCTAATTGTTGAGCCAAACCGGGCAGGGCAGCCTACATTTTCAAAGCAGTAATGAGCATAAATGATATTTCGATATCATTAACAATTGCTATATAAAATGACTCTATTAATGATCTCTATTTGTTGTTGGTATTGCTAATACCACTGCTTTTTTGCCTACACTCAAAATAGAAGGAAATGCTAATGTTAGTTAAAGGTTACTGAAAATAAAGAAGTGATTTTTTTCCCCCTCATCTGAGTTCATGAATTCCCTGAATTCTAAACTTGAGCTTATATACCGCCTGAATTTAAGCCTCAGCTTACCATTTTCCTTTCAGAAAGAGGTAGATGGTAGTCATGTGCAAACTTTTGTTGGTTCTCCGTTCAAATATGTCACACCTAAGACATTTCTTTCCTATAAACTAGACAGAAAGAATCTACTACATACAGCACATGGCAGGGAAACAGACACACAAAGGTGCTTCTTCTTATTTGCCCTAGAATTATTTTGGGTGTCTTACCTCTTAGAGACCTCTTACCTGCCCACCTTAAAGACTGACTGTGTGACATTACAGACAGGTGTTGAATGGGAGATTTGGACAACTCTTGGGGCAACTTTACCCCTTGGATTATTCATTCACAAAATCTCTGGAACAAGCTTCTTCCATAGCTCTCTACACTGAGTTGGAGAGGGTGGAAAAAGATTGCTCACTTTATGCTAATAGAAGATTAGTCCTGGGCCCTAGAGGTGGGGGTCTGAAATAGGGGTGTGAAAATAAACCACAGGGGCATGTATTTTTATTTTTCCTTAGTGATTTGAGAGAGAGAAGGAGGGAGAGGGAGAGAGATAGAAACATTAATGAGAGAGAGAACACCAATTGGCCGCCTCCTACATGCCCCCCACTGGGGATTTGTCCCACAACCTGGGCATGTGCCCTGACTAAGAATTGAACTGGCGACCTCCTGGTGCATGGGTCAATGCTCAACCTCTGAGCCATACCGGCCGGGCAGTGGCATATGTTTTTAAACCCTCCTCCACAGCCCTGTCATTTCAGGATTCACACCAAAGGGCCCCAGCTGTGGGGACCCAGCCCACGAAGGTAAACGAAGTGCTGAGAGCCCAGAGGAAATACCTTGTTGGCGGAGACTTGCGTCTGCCCACACTTGGCCCCCGTCATGGTGCAGAGTTGCTGAGTGAATGTGGGTCCTTTCATGTGACCTCTGTGTTGCCTTAGAAGTGACCCCTCGGCCTCCTGATGATGTGGTTGCTCATCAGCTGGGATGGGGGGTGGGGTGGGGGTGAAGGCACCTGCACTGGGAGTCAGATAACAGGGACTGTGCTAACTGTGTGATGAGAGCAGTGCCTTTTCTTTCCCTCTGCCTCAGTTTCCTCAGCTAGAATCAAGAGAGTTATCTTAGGAGACTTTTGTATTTAGTGATTATATTTGCTAGGCCTGCTGGTGAGGGAGGATCTGTTCCAGGCCTGTCTTGGGCTCGTAGATGGCCATCTTTCCCCGTGTCTCTTCATGTCATCCTTCCACTACGTGTGGTCTCTGGGTTCCAACTTCTCCTTTTGATCCAAAGACACCAGAGCCCACACTAGTGACCTCATTTTAACTTGATTACCTTTGTAAAGACCATGTCTCCATATAAGGTCACATTCTGAGGTGCTGGGGTTTTGACATATGAATTTTTGGAGGGGGGCGGGGCACACAATTCAGCCCTTAGCAGTGATTGTTCAGATCTTTATGTGAAGTGATCTTAGATGTAGACAGTAGTTCAGCTCTCCCTTCCGTGTATCTCGACTCTGAGGATTTCCTGCTAGGCAGGCCAGAGCACTGGTTCTTCAGGTGCTCAGAGGACAGGGCCTGTCCTTGGCAGCTTGCTCTCTGCTGTGCCCTGGGGAGACTTTTCAGGACACTCATTCCTCACCCCACAGAGAAGAGGCTAGAAAAAAGTGGTTTTCTTCTTTGGGAAACCATGAACAGAGGGGGCTGGAGTACAGCAGTCATCCTCACTACAGAAGGCAACAGAAAATCTTCCCTGTGACAAATCCAGTCTCTGCTTTGTTCCAGCTCTGCCAGGGGAGCGGCGACAGCTGCAGAGCAGCTTTCCCAGCAGAGTGGAGGGTCATGGTCCCCCCTGACCCCCGCCCTTCAGCCCCACCTTAGACACACAGCGCCACTCACTCAAGGAGAGAGCCGTTGTGAAGCCAACACCGGCTTTCACAGCCTACCCTGGGTCTTGGCAGGAAATCGCTGGGTGTTCTCATAGGTTGTTACTATTCTACCACACTTTATCTGTGTTCATAAACCATCTACTTGCTTTATCTGTTAATTTTAGTGTGGGTTAATGGAAATGTAAAGACAAAAAGAGGAAAAAGAAAGGCAGAAACTCGGTGCCAAAGTCTGAAATTGCTCATCTACAAAACAAAAAGAGAAAAAGGCAGCTGAATTCCTCAGCTAAAACATGTTCTGTCTGCTGTAGAACAATTCTAAAGAAGTTTTAAAAGCAAAATTCAAATGAGGAACTATCTTCCAGTTGCCAAAGAATTTTGTACGTTATAGAATATAACCGTATAAAATCTTGTGTGAGTTTGACTTCATTGAGGTTTCCTTGTTTACCACGTTACCTTAGATATATACCACAATGTGTGACATACAGACAATTAAAAGTTATCTAAAATTATATTGCACCACAGTGAGGCAAAAGCAGTTTTAAATCTATTCCAACTATGGATTTTCAACTTCTCAATTTTTACATTGAAATCTGTCTGCAGCTCTGCGTCAAGCATGCTATCTTCTCCCCACAAATAAATCATGTCACTCTTCCCCATGACATGCTTCTCCAACTCACTTCTTCTAAACCGAGTTCTATGATCTTGCTCTCTCATTCAGGCTCTCCACAGTCTGAAATCCAGCCTGATTTCCTATTTCATTGTTTAGTTTTTACTCTTGTCTTGGCTTTGGGAAATATTTCTTCCTTTTTATACATACATATCTTTTTCTTCTTCATGCTTTCTTTTTATATTATTTATAGAAAAGGTGGCTGCAATGTACATGTCCGGCAGTCTCTTTAAAAGTCTTTCTACTGGTAATCTCAACATTCTGCAACTCACTGCTTGTTAACCACTCTAGTTTTTGTCTGACCTAGATACCTAAATTGTAAGCACCTCAGGGTAGGGATCTTGTCACTTGGTGTTTTGTAATGTGCTCTAGAAACTTCTTACCAGACTTTGAATAATCATAATATGCAAACTGGCATAATTAGATTATTCAGATCACATTTTATAGTTGGGTTAGGAGTGGTCAAGTAGTACAGATAGCTAGAGGTAGAGAAAATGACTAAGCAAAGAGGAAGTTGGAAATACGTTTATTAGCAGGGTAAGGGAGCTCTGGCCCATGTGGCTCAGTTGCCTGGGCATCATCCTGTGCACTGAAGGGCTGCTGGGTCCATTCCTGGTCAGGGCACATGCCCGGTTGTGGGCTTGATCCCTGGTAGGGGGCTTGCAGGAGCCAGTCCATCAAACTATAACCATTGATGCTTATCTTTCTCTCCCACTCCCTTCCTCTCTCTCTAAAAATCAATTTAAAAATCTTTAAAAAAAAGGGGTAGAGGGTAAGGAAGCCCATACCTCTTGCAATGTGGTCATAGTTCCAAAGAGAAGTTGCAGGTTCACTGACGTGCTCCGGAGAAGACATGCACTTTAAGAGGCCCACTGAATAAGCTAAAATAAGGAAACAAGAAAATAAGAAAGCCCATGGCTGCTCATTTGGGGCTTGTTGGAAACAGGAAAAACAAACACAAAATAATCCCATGCACTGACCCACTTGGAAACACTCTGTCTAGTCTGACCCCAGTGAACTGCTTTCCCATCTCTGTATTGTGGCTATAATCGCTCCGTCTCCCAGGAGCTTGGGGAATAAGTTAAAAACAAATTTGGAGAGACTCCCCTAGTGTCAGGTCACTTCTGAGCACTTCTTCGTGGGCTTGATGAAATCACCTGAACAACTATCTTCAAAATCCTCATCAGTTATCTGGGAACCACTATTTATAAGCATTTAAAGATGTCCTCTTCATTCTTTTCCAAAAAACAAAATAAGATAAATGAATTAAAAATGTTCTTAAAAATTCTTCCAATCATTGGAAGAATATAGAGTTAAGAAATTAAAAAAAAAAAAAGTTTATGGCAAAAAGTAAGCCCTCCTCATGGAGATTGCCCATGGGGACTCTGGCTTCTGGGAGCCACTTTTTGGTTACCACCTCTGGGCTATTGCTGCAGCCACCCCTGGGAGCTGGGTGTGGAGTGGGGT